AACCGTAGTTGTTACCACTTGTTTGATGAAATGCCACACACACACACATAGAGAAACAGAACACGGAGATTTTTTACAAGGAAAATATACTTCAATGTGAGGCCAAAAACCGTGGAGCTCTGTGGGTGTTCACCCTAATTACAATCCATGTGCTTCAAGAGATTACACACTCTCTGTCTCTCTCTCAAACACACACACCAAACTCACCACAGGAGCACTCTCACTCCCCTTATCCACAACACCCTTGTGGTAGGACCAAATAATTCACAAAACTCTAATAAATATGATAATACAAGAATAACAATGATCTATAGCTAAAAGATAGAAAGTATAGTGAGATTAAGCTAAGAAAATCAACAAATCAGAACTTGCAGTTCTGCAGTTGAAGCATAGAGGTGTGGATGGTATGAACTCAGCTCAGCCAATGTCTATGGTAGTTTTCTGGTGGGATAGCTTCCTTCTTTGGATTCACACTTGTTCTGATGGATGTTGAAATAAAAGGTAGTAGTGGAAGAGATTACTAGCTTATTGAAGACTCTCAGCAACAATTCTTCAGCGGACAACAGGTTTGGCATAGTGAAGTAGAGCTACAAAGTAAATGGTGATGAATGCTCAGCTTTAACAGCTTTCTTTAATGAAAATATACTTACTCAACCCATCTTCAAGCTTGGAAAATGCAGTGAAAGGATTGAGAAGCTCTTAAACAACTTTCAATGGTTCTGTATATGTAACTGTGCACCAACAACTTATTTAGATGTTTTTCCTAGCTCAAAATGAAATATACTTTGCACTAAGTGTATAGATGTATGCCCTTTAAGTTCAAATTCCGGAGAGAATGAAGATTAAAATGCCTTATAATCACTGTTAGTATATATCTGTTTGTGTGAAGCTACAAACAGAGTGTATTCTAGCTGATGTATGATTACTTAATGTAGAATAATAGATATCCGAAAGGTAATTTGAACTGTATTCTCATGTAGAAGATGTCCTCAATTAATTCCAAAACAGTAAGTGAAATCCAAAACAACAAACACATGCATAGGATTAATAGCACAATCATTAGTCAAATGCCTAAAGTGTGAGACAAAAGCAATATAATATATGTGATTTGAAAATATATATATATATATATAAAACTTACTTTTTTCAAGCTTTAGTAACCAATGACATATAGAAGATGGCCTCAACTAATTCCAAAATAGCAAGTGAAGTCCAAAACAACAAATACATGCATAGGATTAACAGCACACTTGCATTAGTCAAATGCCCAAAGTGTGAGACAAAAGTAGTATAGTATACGTATTTTGAAAAAAATATATTTATAAAACTTACTTTTTCAAGCTTAATTACAAATAGCATAGAATCCTCGTTGATATCCTAAGATATAGCAACTGAGAAGTATACAAAGTCAATGACATGATAGAATATCACACTTGCATTAGAACTAATATATTACAATCCATAAGTATCTAAGTTAATTATAACTAATATATTACAGTCCATAAGTATTTAAGTTAAGTATAACTAATACATTACATCATTTGTTAATAGCCTGAATAACCAACAACAGCAACATGAACAGTAACATAAATAATATAGTAATAATAAGATAATAACAACCACCATAAACAATGTTGTTTTGCTTATATTGTTGAGCTTGCATATAAAACAACTACATTCTCCAACTCTTGATCACATGACCACCCACTTGCACACCTTGGTGCACGTCGTCCAACCATATAAATGCACGAGGATGTGACTAAAACATCAAACATGTATATATAATTATATAATTCCCCCATGACAATAACACATCAAATGGATCATTTACCTCCCAAGCTAGACATCTATAGAATGAACGTCCCTACTTTAATAGGTTAGAAAAATTATAAAAATCCTAATTTAGATAATTCAATAAGCCATTACAATAAAAGAATATCAATGAGCCCTAACTGAAGTATGTTACAGTCAATAGAAAGTTTTTAAAATTAGACATAGAAATTAATAGAGAGTTAAAATATGAGAGGGAAAATGTAAACTATGTAAAAAACATAAATCAGCTGTAAGGGCAAAAAAGAAAGAGAACACAAATCTTTCCATGGATTGTAAAGGACTCATAACAAAAAGAACAATAAAGATTGGAAAATATTAGTGTTTAACACAAAATCTTCACCGTACAAAAATACCAGTGAGAACGAAAGCACCAAGCAACTGAATCTAGGGTTTCCAAAATACTCTTATGATAGCTTTTCCAAAATAATCAAAACAAAATCTAGGTTTTCTAGAAAAAAACATTTAAATTTAAAAAAACTATGAAATTGAACAAAATAACCCTTAATTTGTGGATTTCGAAGTACAAAACTGAAACAAATCAGTCAAAAACAGAGAAAATGTTAACTTTATTTGCAGAAGCTGAAAGCAAACGGCTCAAACCTCGATTGTTCTTTAAATACAATAGGAAAATAGCTTGAATCGATGGTTGTTGATGGTCATATTGAGCGAAAAATGCACTGAAAGTAAGGATATGTCATTGTTTTCAGCTAAATAAGCCCATACACTTGAGTTGCCTTTGAATTGCCACTGTCGGAGCTCTGTAAAAAAAACCCTAAAAATGACTGAATGTTTTGCAACTTTGTTTTATATATGTGTTGCAATATTAATACAAGTGTAACAAATGGAGCCTTCGCAATAGTGTTTGGTTTTGGGCCAATAGTGCTAAAACATCCTAAAACACTTAAATGGTATTTCAAGTTTTGGCTCAAAAATTGAATATATTTTGACACTGTTGAAATCATAACAGTCAACCCCAAACATGTTTTGGACTCAGAAAAGGCTACTGTAGCGTGCTTACAACAAAAACACCCAACCCACTTCAAATACCAAGCAAGCCTAAATTAATGAACATTGATTTCTAGACGAGGAGTTGTTAAAGTAAGGAGTTGTTTGGTTCAATTCTATAAGAAAGGGTTATAATTTATAAGGAATTGCTCGATCCTACACATGAATTTCAAGGAGCATCATCTAAAGTTATTCATTTAATTTTTATATCATTGATCACACAATCTTAGTCAAGCATTAGTGTTGACCAAGCAATTTTATTAATGGTTTTTAAAAATAGGATTAAGGTAGAAAGTTAGATCAATCACTGTGACACATTTTTGTAAGATGATTTTAAGAATGTTTGGAAACTATTTTGAGGCACAGGGAGTAAATCTCTTTTACAATAATCTGTCAACATTTTACCATGGCATTTATAATAGTAAAATATAAACTGAAAAAAAACAGAAAAAAGAAACAGTTGATCTATTTAAAAACTATAGGGTCAAATATATTTTGAAATCTATTTAAAAACTATAGGGTCAAATATATTTTGAAATTTGTTAACCCATCTAAATATATTCGTTCAAGTGGCACTGTTGCTCAAATATATCTGTCCTTTTATTATTTTTTAAGTCACAATTGTGGACACGTGGGCTGGATAGGTTGGCAATCTAACTTCATATTCTACAATCTTCTAAAATGTTCTGGATTTTCTCTCTCTCTCTCTCTCTACCTTGATAACTGAAAAAAAAAAGTACAAAAAGCATGGGCTACGTGTCGGGTAGGCATTTGTTTAGAAAACCATTTCACATATAATAGAACTGGTACAGACAAAATAGGCGTGGCCAGCTCTCTGATCGACACGCGTTCCAGATTGAAGCTTTAAAAAACGTCTCTTAAATGGCGCGTATGTGCTTAGGTGGGGGCCTGTAATTCTCATTTAACAAGGTGACAGATTCGTCACCAAATGAAAAGTAATCAAATTGATGATCCAAATTCCAAAATTTCGAAATTTGTTATCAATGAAGATTAATTTGGTATAAAAGTGGTTGAGAATTCGAATTCTGTGTCCATTTACTGATCTTTGAAGCAAAAATGAAAATATGAATTTATTGGGTCACTATGAAAATATGGTATTTGGAATTCAAAAATCATTTTGGGGTGTTTGAATAACTTAGGGGAGTTCCAAGTTTTTGAAATTTTGTCTACAAATATTATGTTTGGCTCCTTCTTGGGGTTACCAAAGTCAAATGAGGATGCATACTTGTGTCAACAAAATTAAATTACAAAATAAAAAATACATTTGTATCTGTTTATTTCAATTCTATTTATAATGCTAAAAAAGGAAGAAGCAAAACTACATTTTATAAGAACAATGTTATTCCAATAGGTCATACTTAAAACACTAGTAAAAGAGCTATCCACCATATGTTTTGATTGGAATTCATATTAAGGGTATTATTGAATAAGAAAGAATCATTTTTCAACAGTACAGAGTATTAAAGAGATAAAAGTAGTTCCTCTAATTTTAAGAAGAGACCATTAATCTCGAGCCAATTACTTAGATAACACTACAAAGCAAAAGAGTCTGTTTTGTGATTTTTATTTTGTTTATTTATTTTATTTTATTTATTATTATTATTTTTTTTGTTGTTTCAAGGCAGAAAACACATTACAACATCTAGACTTGAATCATTGACTTTCTATTTTAAAAAGTAAGAAAATACCACTAGACTACACCATATTTGACAGGTGCTTGGTTTATCCTTCAAAAAACAGACTACACCACATTTGACAGGTGCTTGGTTTATCCTTCAAAATGTTTTTTGATAATTAAAATTTAGAAAATTATACTAAAACTTTTGGCATGTCTAATTTGTCACTCAAAAAATAAAAAATTATTTTCAAATAACTATAAAGAAACAAACCTAGAAGAAAACTAAATTAAACAGAAATTTTGTATAATTTTTAATTTTTCAGAACTAAAAAAAAAAAATTATTTTCTAAATGACAAACTAATTTTTTTTTGTATTATTTTCTTTTATCATATTTTTTAAAATAATAATTCCTCAAATCAACGTGGTAGTGGTATTGTTTTATTTATAATTAATCTATTTGCTTGCCACAGTGAAACAGCAGCTCTCCCTAGAAATATCCATCACAAAGCAGTTCCACGGGAATCCAAACCCTAAAAATCAACCCAAAACCTAAAAAAACAAATATAATTTTATTATGTTTTAAATCAAGTGGGGCCCTTTTTTTTTTTTTTTTTTTTTTTTTTTTTTTTTTTTTCACATATAAACAATTTTCATCTCCCTATCAAATCAGTCTCACCGTATGCCACTTTCATGTCTCCCTCTACGAAGCACTTGCCTCTTCCTTTCTCTCTCTACCAATTATCTTCCCTGTTATATCTCCCATTCTATCCGATACTGCTATTACCGTTCCATCAATAAATTTCGTAATGCATCTTCCACCGTTTTTTTTTTTTTTTGGTCTCCGTTTGTTTCCCGGGAAAGTGAGGGAAACACAGAGAGAATTTGCTTAATGCTGGCTTCATTTTACCGACAACAGAATAGCGTATGTGCTTCATTTTTCTTTTAAACGATCTGTCTTTTCTTTCTTTCTTTGAGTACATTTTGCGAAATTTCTTGAGTTTGTGCTCTAAAATCAAATACAAATTGTTTGTATGCTCTTTGTTTTTGAAATATTTGTAGATCAACGTTAAATGAAGAGTGGATCTTGTTGTGGCCTTCGCTATCTGGTGTGTATACCGATCTTCTTTTTGTTTAATATTTTTTTTTTTGAAACACAAGGTATAGTTTGTTTATAAGTTTTCTGTGATGACTTTAACTTATGAATGTTTATCTTAGTTTATACTTACTTTGTTGATCGTTATGATATGTTCAGCACATGCCTTGTATTCAACTTGCATTTGATCCGATTTATACTGTATCAATTTTCTTTCTCTCAGTGGTCTTAGTGGAACTTTGCTGAAGTTTTATCGCCATTCAGAGTATCTGGTTAGAGTAAAATGGTAGAGTAATTAAGTAACAAGCAAAGCTCTCAACTTTTTTGATGACAACTTTTGGAAAAGTTATATTATGATTTGAAAAAGATAATTCCAACCACACTGGTTACTTTGGTATGGTTGCACAAATTAGTTACCTGTGTAATAGAATATTTGGACTGGTCGAGTAAGTTACCTGAAAGTATTTGTAGAGCTGGATAACTCGTAGAATTTTGGTCAGGGGGATTGAAGAATGGTCAATAGAGGTTTCTTGTGGTGGTTTGATTTAAGATTTGAGGTTTTCTTTGAGGAGGAAAAATTATGCAGCTCCTGATAATAGAGATTGGTCAGGGGGATTGAAGAATGATTTAAGATTTTAGGTTTTCACAAGGGCAATCGTTCTTGTGCTTTTTAGGTTTTCTATATAAGGGGACAGAGCATTCTCCGAAAGTGGTCGGGATAGAGAAAGTCTGAGCGAATGGTGTTTGCCAATCCCCACTGACCCTGATCAAATTGCTTCTCCAACCCTTTTCAGAGGCAAGTTTGTCAGTACATAAGGACCGTTTATCAAGGGGGAAGAAGTGGAAGTATATATCGTCGGTTCTGATTTTGGTGACTCTATAGCGGAGAAGGTCTATGATGTCTAGATCTAGGTTCATATCACGATTTAGGAGCAAGAGAACTAATATTACCCTAAGGAAATTTTGGGGTTAACTTGAAAAGGGGAAAGCCCTAATTTGTTAAAAATGTAATAGAAGAACGGGTGCAAGGGAAAATTACATTTAAGTGAAGAACTGAGAAAAAGACCTCTCCTGGAAGAAGACCTTCACCAGATCTCTCATCCAAGTTCTCGGGATAAATCCTAAGGGAGACGTCGTTAGGAATTTTGTTCCTCGAACGAAGAGCCTCTAAATTAGGAGCCATTATAATGGCAGAGGAGATTCCCAATTTTAGACTTTCTTTTTACAAAGGAAGATAGTAAAGAACAAATTCCTCGAAAAATGGATTGACACTAACCTTAGAAAGAGGGTCTGCAGAATACACCTCAACGGAAGGAGAGGTGAAGAATCGCAAAGGGGGAACCGGAGAAGATTAGGAAAACTCACCGGCGAAGATTAGCTATTAGCAGAAACGATTAAAAGAGACGATGCTTGAAGGAGAAGATGATAAAGGCAGAGTAAGGACAAGAGCTTGGAGTTTGGGGTTTTAAAGAGAAAGCGGGCTCAATATCCGAAGAATCAAGGCAATGATGGAGTTTCAAATTTCAAAACGTGGGTTTCTGAACCAACCATTCACCTCCCCACGTCATCGCCTCGAGCAGTCTCATTATGATTAAGTCTCTTCGATAATCTCACCCTAATCAATTAGGGAGAGATTATGGGGGCAGATGAGGACACTAAAAACGGTTTTGGTCGGGCACGACCCAGATCATTGGAAACTGGTTTGGAAAGAGCACTTGGTCTGATCGGATCATCATCTATCATCCCAGACCCAAAAGTCAGTCCGGAAGCCCAATCTGAGAGCGAAGGAAAAGGGTTCATATCTAGGCTCAGAAGATCGGCCAGCTAGAAGAATTTAGGAAGAAGCTTCTAGAACACTTGTAAAGTCTATAAATAGAGTGAAAAGAGAGGGAAAAACGGTTGAGATATTTTGAAGTGTAATAATTAACCTTTCAAAATCGAGAGAGCTTTTTGTTGCATCTTCAATGGCGTCGTCTGTGGGAACCGAAGGAAGGATTCAGTTGATCATCGAGTTCTCTGCAAGCAAATTGATCGTTCTTTCCGAGGATGGAGATTGATTTGTGAGGCAGAAGCTTGATTTCTGGAAATTGGATCTTGATCTGGAAGATGAGATTTGTTTTGAGGAAATTTGATCTTGATTGACGAAGACCAGATCCGAAGAGTTTACGGTAGCAAAGATTTAGATCTAGCTGATGGAGATCGGAATTCGGCCATTCTGAGGCCAGATCTAGTACGTTCACGTCGTTAGGGTTTGGATCCGATCAAGAGTTCTCGGTTGATGACTCTGCTCTGGTCAGGAATGATGATAGGAGATGAGAGTTCTTGTCCTCAGGAGAATGAACAACGCTCAAAGCTTGACGAATTGATGAGTATGATTGAAACTCTAAGAAGAGAGAATGCGGAATTAAGAGCCGGAATGGAGCGTTGAGAAGTTCCGGTAATTTCACGACCGCCTCCGGTAGGAGAAAGAGTTCCACAATCAAATGTTGCTCGCCAAGGTGAGCAAGAAGGAGGCGTTCACCTGGATCTTCGTCACGAAGAGATCAGGCTAGAAGATTTACCGCCAAATGTTCATCATATGGAAGATCAAGAAGGATTTGTTCATTTGGATCCACATCGCGAACATATCAGGCGAGAAGAGGCCATGGAGATCGATCCGCACCGAGAAAGAATCAGGCGAGAAGAAGCCATGGCGTTCGATCCGTATCAAGAAAGGCTTAGGCAAGAGGAAGCTATGGAGTTCGGTCGCAATAAGGCCACGACATCATGGTAAAAAGAGTAAGAGTTGACAGAGCAAAGGTCGTTCGATCCGATCTACCGTCCATCAATGGCAACGTACGACTACAAAAGTTCAGACAGGAGATCTGCTGAGCAGAAGGTACTACCGAGGGAAAACGAAACCCTCCGTTCAGTAGCTCGGACTCTCGATTCACCATTTTCGAATGAAATCTTGAATGCTCCAAATGAAAGAAAGTTCTCCATGCCAGTTTTTACTTTGTTCGATGGAATAAGTGATTTGATCGAGCATGTCTATCATATTCAATTGAAAATAGCTCTGAATACAGAGAATGATCCCCTGATGTGCAAGGTTTTTCCTATAAGCCTGACCGGACCGGCGCTTAACTGGTTTAAGAACTTGGCAAGGGGCTCAGTGGACAGCTTCCGGAACCTATGCGACAGATTCATAAGCCAGTATTATGGAAACAAGTGTCGGGCCAAAGATATCTCGAGTCTGTTTATAATGAAAAAGCTAGAAGGCGAACATCTACAAGCTTTCCTCACTAGATTTAACCTAGTAAAGAGCATGGTAATAGAGCACCATCCATCCACGGCAGTTCAGGCATTCAAGTTGGCCATGGCCCGAGGGACTCCGTTCCACACAAATCTGGTGGTGAATACGCCGAGGACCGACCATGGACGAGCTGAACAAAAGAGCTGATGGTTTTGTGCGCTTGGAAGAAGAGGAGGTTGCCTACGCAAGAAAGACGTCCATGGTCGCGACGGAGGAGAAGACCAGAGAAAAGATCAGGCAAAAGCAAGCCGCACCACAACGTCCGACCTCCTGGAAAGCAGAAAAGAGGCCTAGAGAGGACGAGTCAGTTACTCTACTCAAAGTCACCCTGGCGAGGCTGTATGAGTAAATAAAGATAAGTTTCGTCCTCCCCTACCAATCAGACAGCCCCTTGAGCAAAGAGATCAATCTAAACATTGTGCTTTTCATAGTGATTTTGGCCATCAGACTAATGAATGCAGGAACTTAAGGAGGCAAGGGAGATGCTAATAGCAATGGGAGAGTTCGCTGGATACATCCAAGGACCAGCAGTGGAGCAGAACCGACAGGCAGAGCAGGTGAAAAGTAATCAGAAGCCGAACTACCATAACGCTCAGCCCGTTCGGATAATAAACGCAATTCATGGCTGACCTGAACCGACTGAAGGGTCAGAAGAACTGCTCTGAACGCGTCTTCGTCAAGCACAAATGAAGAGGAGGATAGGCAGTGTAAATGCTCTGCACCAGTAGAACGATCCAGTTCAGATAAGGTTCAACAGAACGGATCTGTTGCGAGTTCAGATTCCTCATGAAGATCCCTTGGTCGTTAGCTTGACTGTGGTAGAATGCTTGGTTCGAAGAGTTTTAATTGATCCAGGAAGCAGTGCGAATGTCATGCCAAGGGTAACATTTGACCGGCTCGAGATTGAGCCAGAGAAGCTTAAACCTACCGGAAATCCACTGTTGGGATTCGATGGAAAGCGGGTGGAACCTATTGGTATGATTGAATTGCCAGTACGAGCTGCTGAAAGAGATCTGATTGAAAGCTTTGTGGTCGTCGAGATCCACCCATCCTATAATTTCTTGATGGGAAGAGGGTGGATTCACAGGGTCCAAGGTGTCCCATCGATTCTGCATCAGGTGATGAGGTGTTTGAGCCTGATGGGAGCAAGGTGATTGACATCCATGGGACTAGGTCGTATCCAAGGAGTGTTACTCTGTAACTCTGAAAGCAACTGGGAAGGGAAAAGCTCCCGCCCGGTCTGATAACCCAAAATAGTAATCACAGGTACCTCCACCTAAAGAGATTGGGGAGGAGGACGAGCCTTTGGTTCTTACCGAAGAATGCCTCGTTGATGTGCAGATTGACCCTCTGAGCCAGACAGAACAACAAAAGTAGGGCCTGGGCTTGCAAAGGAGGAGAAACAGCAGTTACTTGATTTCCTGTCTCAGAATGCAGATGTGTTTGCCTGGAGTCATTCAGATATGCAGGAATCGACCCTTCTGTATCTTGCCATTCCCTCAATGTGGATCCGAACGTCAAGCCAGTAAGACAGAAGCAGAAGAGGTTCGTCCCAAAACGCAATCAAATCATAGCCGATGAAGTTGATAGGCTACTGGAGGCAGGGTTTATCAGAGAGGTTCAGTACCCGTCTTGGCTTTCAAATGTGGTTGTGGTGCAGAAGAAGAATGGAAAATGGAGCGTATGTATAGATTTTACGAACCTGAACAAAGCTTGTTCGA